TGCAGCATGCAGCATGTCAGTGACGGGGAGCACAAGGGCAGGCGCTGACCTCCAACAAAAAGAAGAAGTAAATTTAACGGAATACAAAAGTTTTTTCTTTTTGAAATCCGAGTAGAAAGGGTACAGGTTATATTTGAATACAACGTGTGCGTTTTCTATTCGAGGAACTCTGGTATTCGAGAAAAGTGGACCCGCACCGTTTCAATTTTGAAAAAGGACTGTGGCCTCCTAGGCCTCCTATGCGCAGCTACCGGTCCTACGTGGTCCTGGACCAAAACCCGTGCAGTCTCACGGGCAGCTACCGGTCCTGCAGTTTCAAATAAGATGCCACCACCCCCTAAACTGTCATGCCTTATTTTTCCAGCCTTCAAACGACTGTATAACGAACGACGACGAAAAATGTTCTCAGGGGCATAAAACGCACCCCTGACGGGCTGCGAACACCGTTTCAATTTCGAAAAAGGCTTAAGGACCACGGCCTCCTCGGCCTCCTACGGGCAACTACCGGTCCTACGCGGTCCTGGCCCTTGCAAGGCCCCAAAACCTCAAAATGCCCACCCTCCCGACAACCACGACGTTGAAATTTGATTGACGTTGAACGTGAAATGTCTCAGGGGGGAAAACGCAACCCTTACGGGCTGTGAACATAACCACCGACTGTACCTCGTCTCAACCATCTGTATAATCGATGATTCCTTACGATACTGCTCACGGGGGCATTCACTCTGTACAAATGTTCCTTCCATTGACATCGCAGCATACGACTAGTACAACCAATATTCATGTGCTTACACCAAGGAGATACTAACGCATAAATAACTGGTCTCGGGCAAGACATAAAATCATAATTGTTCTTGCGAAGCTGTCTGAAGAAAGGAATCAAATTCTTACACCATAGAATGCTCCCCCTCAATATTAGTGAAATCACTGTCAATCTGAAGAGATCATCAATTCCAGAATCATTAATCAATCTAACACATGAACGTGCATCACGGCAAGCAAGAGCAAGATCGTGAAAGTTCTGGGTATTACCGACGCTCGAAGACCGTCATTAGCACCCCGAGGTATCCTCCTCCTCCGCAGTTTTTTGCCTCTCGTCTTCCTCACTGCCAGCAAGATCCATCGAATTTGTAGGTAGACTAGATGTATCATCTTGTGGTTCCAAAGCCCGACGCGAGCTTCGTTTCCCGTACGCTCGTTCCGTGTAGATATCGGCGATTTCTGCAGCAGAGTTCTTGATGGTGTCGTAGGCAATCTTCTCTTCATTACAGAGTATCTCGATCTCCTTCTTCTTACATTTGCATAACTCTCTGCACACACGCCTCCTAAACGATTCTCAATCTTCATTGTTGTTCTTCACAAATCGAATTGGGGTAGGCTTCCCCCCTGATGCTCCCTCACCACCACCTTTTTGTGCCTCCTTATTCAACCGGTGTTTGAGATTTGTAGGTCTCCCGCTTCTGAACATCGATTTCTTGGTTCTTAAATTTGAGGTAGGAATAACGATTCTACCGGTACGTTCTTTCAGTGCTTGTATCTCCCGTTCCGCCACGTCCTTGTCATCACGAATCCTCCGATATGCTTCTGCCAGCTTCACATATTCTGCCGGTGTAGGCTCCGATAGATTCTTCGATTTTGCTCTCGCTGGCTCCTCCGGTGGGCTCTTTTCCGTGACCGCATCAGACGCCCGTTTCTCCCCACGCTTAAGATGTTCGACTTCTTCTTTCAGGTGGATAAGATCTTGAATCAGTAGCTGATTATCCGTTTTTAGTGTCGTAATCCCCTGATCTGGCTGAACATTACGTTGCGTTTGCCTTCTTAGCTCGTCAATATCTTGCTTCAACTTCTCGATAACGTCGAGTTTCTCCCAGCTATTACCGACACTTTTTGCTGTTCGCGATTCTTCTACCGTTCTTCTACAAACTTCTTGCATAGCAGCCACTAGTGGATTCTCTCCGACAGTCACCTTCCGTCCTAGGACCTGCTCACATGCCTGCTGCATCTCGTTCTGAACCATCGCTCCGATACTGGCTTTGAAGTCGTCACGCTCTTTCTGCTCCGCCAATTTCTTCTCCTCCAGTTCTCTCACTCTCCTCCCTTCCTCCTCATCCCTCGCCTTCCTCTCTTGCTCCTTCTTAACGCGTTCTCTTTCTTGCATCTTGCTCGACATCCAACTCCACATTCTCTCGAATCTGTCACCCTTCTCTCTGCTGTCATGGTTCCACGATCTCCTATACCCTCCAGAGTACCCTCCAGCGCCTCTACTATAGTAACCGCTGTCGTTATTGCTGACGTTTGAATTATTGTTACTCCTGCCGTCATTCGGAGGTGGCTGGTATGGAACGAGAGCACCTGGAGCTTGAAAAATCGGTGGAGAGTTCGAAGAAGAGGCTTGGTTATTGAAGTTTTGTGCGTTCTGCTCATTGCGCGCCATGTCTCGCATCCTCGTACGACACTCTCTGATGTAATGACTGAGTCGTTGACAGTAATGGCAAAGTGGCCGCTCCATGATAAAAAACGAAGAATAGCTCGATAAAATCGATATAGCAAGGCGAACTAAGTAAGGACAGAATAGAAAAGAAATAATACAAAATTAATGAATGAATCAAAGGTAGGATGATCGCAGTCAGTCAACGCAGTGCAATTGCTACGCCAGTTAATGCGTGGACTAATGTTTGTTACATAAGTCAAAGTGTTGAAAGACAAGGCTCACGAACACATGTACATACAGTGAGACTCACATCACACAGTAGTCAAGACAAAGAGACCCGAGCGCAGGTAACTGCGTTGCGAAAGATAAGACATGAATACACACAATGCTTCAGGCGAGGAGGACCCGACACCGTGTTTCTGTCGATCGCCTGTTCCGACTTCTTCAGGGGTCACTAATTACCAGCATAGAAGGATAGTAAAGACGAACTACTCACTATATATTTTAAACCACATCACCTATAGTACCAAAGTCTGCAGTAGAATATGACGGCACTCCTATTTTCTAATTGTTTCGTCTCGAGAGATTGGGCGCTTAGCGCACGCGCGGAAACACAACGGTGCTGGGCCGAGCCACGTCACGGGCTGATGGGGAACACGGTCCGACCTTCCACGCAGGTGGGGGGTTCCACGTTCGACTCTATACCCGCCGCGGGTGAGGACACATGGCAAGAAGAGGACGGGGAGCCGACATCAGCAGTTGCCAGAGGAGTCACAGTGGAGCGAGCCCTTGGCGATCCGAAGTGCGCGACGGCGGAAGAATCGGAAAGTGACAAGGAGGTCATCGACTCTGACCAAATCAACAGTTTCGCGAGCAGAGGACAGCAAGAATGGTGTGACCCACCGGGTGAACGGTCCGAGTAGGAGGTTCCCGACAGCATCCAGCGGCGACGGGACACGGGTTACCGCACCTGAAAATGGACGTCGTCAGAGATTGACCCGGGGAGAACACGTGGCGACGGAGGGACTGTAATCACGCCGACCGGAGGGGGTAAATTCTGAGCATTGAGGACAGGCGGCAGCAACATGGAGGGGTCAAATGGGCGGCTCTGGTAGGACACACTGCAACTCGGACACGTGGCGACGAGGTGACTGCAAATAGGCTGGCCGGTGGGAGAAAAATCAGCAGCGATATGTGGGAGGGGGAATTGAAGACGAGCAGCAGAGTCGCTGTGGAGTCAAAATATTGGCTCTGGTAGGATACACCACAACGGGGAAATTGCAAGTGATAAGTTGGGCAAGCAAGGGACAAGTAGCATGTGGCGCGCAGCAGAGAAGAGACAACAACAACTTCATAGCGAGCTGGGCATCAAGGACGGGCAGCAGCAACGTGGAAGGGTCAAACGGGCAGCGTGCGGCGCGCAGCAGAGAGGAGACAACAACAACATCATAGCGAGCTGGGCATTGAGGACGGGCAGCAGCAACGTGGAAGGGTCAAACGGGCGGCTCCGGTAGGACACGCTGCAGCCGGGACACGTGGCGGCGGGTTGACTGTAAACAGGCTGGCCGGTGGGAGAAAAATCAGCAAAGATATGCGGGAGGGGAATTGAAGACGAGCAGCAGAGTCGCCAAGGAGTCAAAAGTTTGGCTTCGGTAGGACACACCGCAACGGGGAAATTGCAAGTGATAAGTTGGGTAAGCGAGGGACAAGTAGCGTGTGGCGCACAGCAGAGGAGCGACAACAACAACATCATAGCGTGCTCCCCAAAAGGAGGAGGGAACAGGAACGGGTGTGGGAGCAATCAATCTTGGCAAGCAGGTATAGCCCCCCCCCCCCCCCCCC